CGCGATTGTTAATAATGAGATGGGTCGAAATCGCATTATTTTTGCTAAGAGTCACAGTCGGACCTCCCCCCAATGGGAACTCGAGGCTCCTATTCCCCCCCACCCCCTCTTCTTTCCTATTCCTTTGACATTTCCACAGGTGTTGACGGGGACGATCAGCCCCTACCTAAACCAAAACACGCTGTTTTAACATCGGTTCATTATCGATTTTTATTTAATAATGTATTGTTGATAATGTGAAAATTGAGAAGCTTTGGCTAGTCGTAATTATGTACAATGCTAAGGAAAATGCAGTTACGATGCTGCTCTTTGCCATGCACGTGACACGTCGCGTTGCGCAGGTCGCAGCGCGTGATTTTAAGTCACGTGCCTCACAGCTGGTTAGATTGTCACGCCATGTTTCTCTCGAGTGTTGTGTGACGATTACTCAAACGATGGCTGCAAAGAGCAAACCCCCAACCTGTGACTCTCTCCAATTGAAATGTTTTTATCCAACGTTGTGAATATATTACGACGCTATAATTCAAAGGCTCAAAGAAGCCTTAAAATGTTTCTTTAGGATCATGATAAGAAATGATGCATTTAATAACTTGACGAGAAATAAACGTGAAGCAGGTATGGTGTTGTCTTTTTTATGTTAATGTTTCTTCGATTTTAATTTACGTTTACCTGCTCAAGCAATAATATTGTCCCATGTCCTAATAGAGTTTGCTTACTTGTTTCAAAATATTTTCTCACTTTTTATTATTCTCTCATTCTTTCTGTCCTTAACATCTGTCATTCTGATTGTCTGTCCATGTCTGTCAGTCAGTCAGTCAGTAGTCAGTCAGTCAGTCAGTTAGTCAGTCAGTCAGTAGTCAGTCAGTCAGTCAGTCAGTAAGTCGCATCAGAAGCATATTACCTAGAAGCGTTGAAGGTAGCTTACTACAGTTTTTCCGAGACTCAGTAGCGCGCATAACCCTAAGAAAAACGAAAATAACTTCAGGACTTGAAAGGCATTAAATCACTTCGTACGTAGTGTACGTAGCAATAGCTTCAAACTGCTTTCAAACATGTGTTTAAGCTTAGCGCCAATGAAATATGACAGAAAAGGTCCATAAACAACCCGTAAAAGAGCTTTAATTTACTCTTGCTTTCTGGCACGTGATAGATGGCGTCACATGAGCGCGCGCATAAATAAAGGGCACGCGCAGTTCAATTCTCGTCCACGGTTGTAAAAGCCAGTCTTTGATCGAGGATTGCTCGGAAACCTACCGTACAACCCATGTTGAAATTTTCACAGTTGATTTTTAGGGGTAAATCGCGTTTAGAGCCAAAATTTAAAAAACAATTCTGTAAAACAGATTTTTTAGCTATTTTTGATTTCACGTTTTCTTAATTTGCGAAAAAAATTGTCTTACAGATTTTAATTTTACTTTGCATGAATGTTAAACCAGAGCAAATTTCTTATTCCTGAAATTTTGAGGTGGGGTCATACGGGTGGATTTTGAGAAAAACGTCATTTAAACTTACTAGTGCCCAGTCTCTCCTTAGGTACTTAGTCATTCATTTTGGCCATTTGTCGACGTTTAAATTGTTCAAGTTTCACCTAGAATGGTAAAGACTTTAGCAAACAGTAAATAGCTGGAAAAACATTTGAAACATTTTTCAAAAGAGTTAGAAGTTGGGCTGTTATAATCCATCAAAACTGTAGTAAGCTAGGTGATATGTTTCTGGTCGCATTTCAAGTAGTTGTTTTCACGGGTAAATATTGAAAGGAAACATACTGGGGACTCCAAATAACCTCGTGGAGGGGGGAGGGGGTGTAATGGGGGCTATAATAACAAGTCGCTCGTGTTATAGTACTTGAATTTTTGCAAAACTGGATGAAGATGAGGGAAGAACAAAATAACAGGACAAATGGAAGGAGGTGGGGGAGACAACGACTAATGCACCAACCCTTGGCATAAGAGCTCTTCAGCAGGGGTCGTTTTCTCTGGCTTAGAGTTCGAGTTTCGTATTATTGCCCGACAAAACGTGGCGCGCTTGAAGCCAAATGTACCATGTACAAGACAAATTCGTGATTGGGTCCCAAAAAATAGTATGGGTCTGTGGAAGTACTTCGCAGAAACGGATTCTTTTGCCAGTTGTAAAGGGCAGCAAACACGAAGCTACTGAAGCTAAAAGGTGAGGAGACATTTTTGCATAGAGAGGGCGGGCGTCACGCAGAGCAACAGCATTGCATGACCACTGCGATGTCTTCATTTGTTTATAGCGGGGGATTCCCATATTAGGTTTATTTTCGTGCTGATTGGCCAATAACCTCCATGACGTCAGAAATTGCATAATTTTAAAGTATTTGATCGCGCGCTACACGTTCTTTCGTTCTCTCACGGAATTGTCGCAGAGTCGTTTCGAGGACAGTGTTTTGTCTCGATAAATTTACCGGATCTGACGAAAATGTAAGTATAAGCAGTGTAAGATTGCTTCAAAGGCTGCTTATTTCACTTAAGGGCAAAGCAGTTTGGCAGTTCAGTCATATCTCCCGTTAAAAACATACTTTGGATGTGCTGTCTCAAAACTGCAACACGTGAGTACAGTAAAATCGGTAGCATCGGGCTTCGCGAGGCAAAAGGGAGAGGAACTTTTTCACACGTGTTCGAAGCTAAGCGAATGATGTTGTTTATGTCTAATTTTCAAGAGCGAAATAATATTCTGAGAAAACGACGAGTATACATGTATTAAAAATTGCAATTTATCCAAACGATTCGATGAGGGTCTGAAAGAGGGGCGGGGTGGGGGGAGGGGTCCTGATCCCGCATTCCCGCTACTTTTTCACGAGAATCCCGCATCCCGCACTTTTTCATCACTATCCCGAATCCCGTTTTTCTTTCCCAGAAAAATACATGAAAAAGTCTAATTTCTACCAAAAGTTAATAAATGTAAGATGTAGATTGGCCCTTTTGATTTATATTTTGAATTTACACGTGTTTTTAAAGGCTCCTGCAAAAAAGAAATAGCTTTTTGTACCTTAAGGCAATTGTGACCACGGGTTTTCCCTGAAGCATTTACTCTTAGCGATTTCTGCTAAACCAGTGAAAGTTTTTTAGTGCTTCTCAAAGTTGAACAGGTCTTTGTGTTGGTCGTCACTTAGCAGAACATTGAATTTCTCTTTGTGGATCGCTGAGGTTCTGGTGCTAGAACGAGGAGTATTGTCGGTGGCCGCAAGATAAAACGAGACCAAAACTCTTACTGCAGCAGAGCTGGCATCACTATTTGTTATATCTAAGGCCAGCTGTTGAAAAAATCGCCTCAAGATTACAATAAATGTGAACCTGTGAAGAGACTGAAGAGCTTGAGCAATTGAGTCAATTGAGCATCGAGTCAATAACTGGTATGCTATTACACCACGTGCACTTTTCTGGCATCTGGGTGAAACAAAATACTTTCTGACAGTTTCAATTAGATAACTATTAACCAGGCATACTCTATAGTTTGGTTTGAAAGGAGACACCACTTAGCACTCTCCTTGTTGATTCGCTTTGGCCGCTAGAACGTTTATTTGAGTTGTGACGATTTCCCGAATTCCCGACAGGCAGGGGAAAAAAATCCCGCATCCCGTGCCCAAATTTTGGCGAGTCCCACTTCCCGGGGAGCAGTCAAATCCCGGATCCTGTCAAGATATTTATCGTTTTCCCGATTCCCGCACCGTATTTTGATCAAATCCCAGCTCCCGCGAATACCCTTCCAGACCCTCTTCAATCAATTCAAAGATTCAAAGCTTCGGTAATTTGCTTTTTTAATTTTCAAGGGGAAATGTAAAATCTACCTTGCAAGTTAGAATTTAATAATCTTGAAACTAGCTCCTATCTCAGAATTATACTTTAATATATCAGCAAAGAGGGCATTTTGAAACTTATGAATTCTTCCAACCATTTGTAGGCAAAGGATCATGCAAGGGGATGTGTCTTTCAGGAGTACTCTTATTGTCATGAAATGATTGAAACGTTGTTTACACAGACCTGCCAACTTGTAAGAACTGGAAAACTGGGAATTTTTTTTTTTTTTCAAAATGAACAAGACAACCCAGGGATTTCTTTTAAATCCCATAGTCTGACTAAAGGCACAACCTAGCTGGGGATATTGTGTAGTATCAGAAAATATCTACCAGTATATCTCCCCCACAGAAGACCTTCCAACCCTTGGGAAATTCCAGTTAAGCTTCATACATTTCTTTATTTGTTTTTGGTCAAGCAGAATTCCCCTACCTCCAGGAAATTCTCACCCCTTCTGTGGGGGTAGCATGGATATTTTCTGGAACTGCACATTTGTGAAAAAAAATGAGTCTTTGAACTGGAACATATGGCAGTGTCTTTCTGATCATGTGACAAAACTAACGTTTTTAGAGAGATAGGCAGTGGAATCCTTCTTTTCTTACCACCAAGGGAGTTGGAAATTGGTTAAAAATTTCGAGAGATTTAGAAATCAAGGATAAATAACATGATACAGGTTAAGAGAAATTATTTTCCTGCAAAGGTAGTGTAGTCAAAAATTGTGTTGAATAATCCAGCATTTGAAACATCAAGGGTTTGAATGATTGGGCTTTCTATGTACAGTTATTTCCTAATTCAGTCACATCTCTCCTTACAGACACCTATATATATAATGGTTTGTTCATTTAGTCCCAGGGATACCAGATCATAGAAGTGATATAATTTATTCTTAAGCCTTATGATAAAGGTAAGGTCTGCATACGAGCCAAGTGGCCCATCAGGCGGGAGATTATCCCGGTTTCTGTACCCATAAAGTGACTAGGAATATTTTACTCCCCCCTGGATGGGATACTAGTCCATTGCAGAGTTACCACCAGCATTAAATATGCCGGTACTCATTTGTACACCTGGGTGAACAGAGATACAGCCACCTCCTAAATATGAACACAGAGCTTATTGTCCCTTTGCAATTGGTAGTTCAACTGAAGATGTAAATTGCTTCATTTTGCTTTTACTTTTTCTCCCTAGATGGCTGTTGCACAAAAGAAAAATCTTCACTTTGTCGAAAACTTTGGGTTGAGTGGAGCTGCAGCTATCATATCCAAGACTGCGGCTGCCCCCATTGAACGCGTGAAGCTTCTTGTTCAAAACCAGGATGAAATGATCAAGGCTGGCAGACTTGATACTCCATACAAAGGTGTCATCGATTGCACAGCCAGGACGTACAAGGCAGAAGGACTTGTTTCCTTTTGGAGGGGTAAGACAATCACATTTTTAGATGCATATTTAATGCAGCTTATAAAAACAGGAAATCTGATATTTCTTAAAACAAACCAGGGATTTCTGTTCAAACCAGAGACTCACTAAAACTTAAATCATGACTGCGATGCCTGCTTTAATGTGTGAATCTTCTAGGCCTTTCAAAACCATGTAAACTCTGCTCAAACAATGGTTGCATTTTTTTCTGCTGTCAGTCATCTTTGTTGGCTTCAAGAAACACTGCAGCTCACTCGGGGGGGGGGGGTACTCCCATATATAAGTTACATATGTATATGTGTATGTGCCATTGTGGAGGGTGTGGTTTTCAGGCAGTTTAGTCATGGATACTGGAGAATGAACAGTTTTGGTTTAGACTAGGGTATAATTTAACGGAAAAGTGGCCTGTGTGTAAAAAAAATTAGTTCAAAATGGGGCTCTTTACCCGGTGTTCTATAATAGAAAACAAAACGCGGAAGTGACTTTGTAAGATGTTGGTTTAATTAGCGTATGTTGGACTATGATAGTGATAAAGTTGCTGCATTGAAAATAGCTAGTCTGGTAATAAGGGTAGGGATTTTTTGATACCTAGTATAGGATAGGGTTGTAAAATCAAGCTGATCGTGGTCTAGTACCTGTATACCTGTATGTCCCAGCAGTACACCCCTACCCAAAGGTTTACAGAGTACTCCACCCCCAGAAGCTCACTACAACAGATTCTTAAGGTCATATATCAGTTGGCTGTGATTGGTCAATGACATCCATTTAGTTTGTTTTTTTCTTCAAAGAACACTTCAGATGTAGAGATTTTAGTAATGTGTGACCTGTTTTCTTGCATTCCAGGCAATCTGGCCAACTGCATCAGATATTTCCCGACGCAAGCTCTGAACTTTGCCTTTAAAGATCAAATCAAAGCCCTGTTTAAGCCAAAGAAGTCTGACAGCTATGCCACTAAGTTCTCCAAGAACATAGCCTCTGGTGGAGCTGCAGGAGCCATGTCGTTGCTCTTTGTTTACTCCCTTGACTATGCACGAACCCGCCTGGCAAACGATGCTAAGTCAGCTGGAAAAGGTTCTGAGCGTCAATTCAATGGTCTCATTGATGTTTACCGCAAGACCCTTGCAAGTGATGGCATTGTTGGACTCTACCGAGGCTTTGTCATTTCGTGTGTGGGAATTGTTGTATACCGTGGGTTCTACTTTGGCTTGTATGACACCTTGAAGCCAATCCTGTTAGGTGATGACGCCCCCTTGGTTCTGTCCTTCATTCTGGGTTATGCAGTGACGGTGAGTTCTGGTTTGGCTTCCTACCCAATTGATACCATCCGCCGACGCATGATGATGACATCTGGCCAGGCAGTGAAGTACAAGGGCTCCATTGATTGCACTGTCCAGATTTTGAAGAATGAAGGCTTCATGTCCTTGATGAAGGGTGCTGGAGCTAACATCCTCCGTGGCATGGCTGGAGCTGGTGTCTTGGCTGGTTTTGACAAGTTCAAAGAACTGTATGTTGGCTGGCGTTTTGATGACTAAGACATCTAAAATCAAGGATTGGTGTCTTTAAGGTTATCCTGAAGCCTTTGTAAATAACATCTGACCACCCTCTGGAAGATTTTCATTCTAAATTGGTGCAATAATATAACTGGACTGACTATGTTGGAAGATGGGAGGAAATCTCATTCTTTTGCAAATGTATATTCTCATTAAAATTCAGCTTCAAAACTGAGTTGAATCTCCAGATTTTTTTTCATAATTAACCGTCATGGGTTGTCAGTCTATTTCCAAACTATCCTATTTCTTTCAACTTCTTTGTGAGTTACTGGCATGAGATTTTTATCCTGAAAGTATCAGGATTTTTTAAGAAGACCAACCAGATCTGAGGACATCGAAAGATTTCCGATGACACTCAAAAGATTTTGGAAGATGTTTTGAGCATATCCCGCAACCAGTCTAAGGATGTGTTTCACCAAACATTAAGCCGTCTCTAGTGCTTTTCCCTTGAAAATCGGACAATTTGGGGAGATGTATCATCATCTACATGGACTTTTCTCTTCTTGTGTTGGGTTGAGTTTCTCATATATCTTGAAAGTGTGTCAGTCAAGACTGCCATAGCCCAAAATTCTCAGCTCGGCACGAGAAATTTGTCCATAAGTATGACTGGCAGGAAATCAACCAGCGTGAAACTTAAATGATTAAGGCACGAGAGTTACCAGGTATACAATTCTGGGCCCCCACATCCATCTGTTGTAAACAGTTAATCGGTTTACAACTGTAATTTTCGACGCCTTTACATGGCAGTACATGTGGTGTCTGCCATCAAGATTATCTAAAATGCTAACATCATCCTACAAAGACAGGAAAAATCCAACACTTGATCTGATTTCCTTTTTGTAATGTTTGTGGTATTGTAACACCTCCATAATTACACGTGTTCTCAACCATCTGTTCAGTACAAAGCTGTGTACCACCCACTTTCCTGTCCTTTTTCGGGGAAAAATTGAGGAAGGATAGGTGACCATATGCTAGGAATATATTTTGCCCCTTGTAATAGCCTTACTTAAGGCGACAGTAACCGCACTGAAAAATATAGAGGCATGGCCTAGAGGCATGAGAGCTTCCCAATCCCGAGCTTAACTGTCAATAATGCCTTGTACCACGTATCATTTTCCAGGGACGTGCAGTCAGTTAGGTGCTGGTTTGCCTGTGGCCTGTGTTGTGGCCTGTGCGAAAATTATATCCCCAAGGAGACTGAACTCTAGTTACCATTGTCCCACGCCACTAACAAACAAAATGGCGGCAATTAGCGCGGCAAACGATGAGAACAAATATAATGATGCGTTTTCGAGAGTGTAGTTTTCGGTAATGGCAAAACCTGCAGAAGATGAAAGATTGACGTTTTTTCAAAGCATCATCTGTGGGGGAATTGCTGGTGTTCTCTCTAGAACTCTGACCTCGCCACTCGAAGTTGTGAAGGTGTTGGCGCAGGTTGGAACTCCCGAATCTCGCGTTGGATTTTTCAGATCTTTTAACAGGATTTATCGGAGTGAGGGTTTAAAGGCTTTCTGGAAAGGTAACGGAATCTCTTGTCTGCGACTAATTCCCTACAGTGCGATACAGCTGGCTGCATTCCACAACTTGCTGGTAAGCCATGGGGTGTTACCCAGGGTTGTTGTCAAAGTAAAGAAAATCTTTGAAGTTGACTTGGTTTATTTGAAGTGTAGTGTCAATGTGTTCTGCTTTGGCTTATCTGCATAGCATCCAGCTTATTAAAAGGAAACTGTTAAATCCTATCGTTCTACATTAGAAATCATTCAAGTAGTTTTTATTATAGGGTTAATATCATTCAGGTTTAGCCAGAATTATTTTGTAAACAAATTACCCTACAACATGTACTCTCCCTCCCCTCCCCTCCCCTACCCACAAATATCAAACTGAACGTGCACTCTGGTCGTGTCTGGTGAAGAAGGTTGTTTTCATCAGGAAATAAACTGGGACACAGCCTTTCAGCACTGAATAAGCACAATAGAATGAATTGTGCCAGTGATTCATAATATTTAATAAATCTACAAAAAATTGAGAACTTTCAAGACTTACCCTGCCTTTTGTATTTATTGGCCACTTTACTTGAAAAGTACCTGTAGGGTTTTCAGGATATCGGATATTTGGGTACAAAATTAAAGGGATACAGGATATTTTTGGGGTAAAAGAATAGAATATGGGATATTGAGATCAGACAAAAATATGCAATATCGCGTAGGAAAATCGTTAATTTTGGCAACTGGAATTAACGGGATACCGGATATTGAGGCCAAAACTTAACAGGATTTGGGATACTCACCACCCTCCCACCACCNCCCCCCCCTCCCACAAGAGCCAAAAGGTGACTAGAAACCCAACAGAATCACAGAGGACAGAAAGAAAGAGAAAATAAAATGAAAAAAGGCAAAAAAAAATATACAAAGTGAACCAAAAAATGAGATAGGAACCCCAAAGAGGTATAACTCTTTCTGACAAAAGTTGGCCTTGCATGTTTGCTCAAGTGGAAAGCCATGCCATTTGCATCAAAATGAAAGTGAAAGTTAGTTTCTATCTTCAAGTGACATTTTACAGTGCCATTTGGCTGAACATTGCTCACTCTCAAAAAGCTGTTTGTCTATGAGAACAGAATATCCACATATAAACATCTGCCTCAGGGATACATTCACACCAAATAAAGATTGAGGTTTGTATATTTAAATGAAGTATTATCCCTCTTTCCAGGCACTATTAGAAGATGCACACATGCCAGGCAATTTGAATGCTAAAAGTTGGATGGTGGCTGGTTCAGGAAGCGCCCTTATTGCCGCACTCTTAGTCTACCCAGCAGATATGCTGAAGACAAGACTTATTGTCCAGAATGTCAAGCCTTCCTTATTGCACTATCGTGGAATAATGCATGGTTTCAGGAAAGTCTGGAAAGCAGAGGGAGTTTTGGCATTATATAAAGGAATATTACCAACATTCCTTGGTAGGTTTTTTTTACAATCATGATACACAATTTTGCCTACGAAAAAACGTCAGATTTATTGTCAAATTTAGGGACCTGTGACTAGTCAGGGCGTGATGTCAAAACAAGAATGTAGTTCTACTTATCTATGTACACCACAGCAGTGTCTAATTTATGGTATACAGTTCAACCCCTATTAAACGGGCACCCTTGGGGAAATGGATAGTGGCCGCTTAAAAGGGGCTGGCTGCTTAATAGAGGTAAAAACAATAGAAAAGCCATCATTGGGACTTTGATTACTGGCCGCCTAATAGGGGTGGCCATTTAAGAGGTGGCCACTTAATAGGGGTTTGACTGTATTTCACTTTCACATTTGTTTGGTTCAAAAGATATGTCTGCCTGTATTCTTGTCTTGATGTCTCAACCAGACTAGTCCCAGGCATCCTCCTTGCATGGTGGAACTGGAAACTGTAATCATCCATGGAATGTTATTTTGTTTGCTAGGAGAAACTAGCAGGCATCAGATACAGGGTGAATAAACTGTAAACCTTAAAGGTTATGATCTCTGACTGTGGTTTGATCTAGTGATTGGCTATGTGACAAAGAGGTAGATGCTGTCTTATGATGCATTGAACTGAGCAAATCAAAGTCAAATCTTAGTCATCAGGCATTTAGGTTTTGCATTGTAAATTGCAAATGAACTAATAATTATTAAATAATATGCCATTGTGTTCGTCGTGGAGTATTTTGTTGTGTCATGTGTTCGTTTTAGGTGTTATACCATTTGCTGGAGGTTCATATTTGGCATATGGAATTCTTGACAGCTCAATTGCAAAACCTCCCTGTGATCTCACCCCAACATATATGTTCATTAGTGGCTGTCTGGCTGCCGCTGTTGCTAAGGTGATTTTTTTTGTTGACATGGTGTTCTTGTTAAATAGTAAAAAAAGTATGAAGTGATCAAAACATATTATGTTAATTGGTACATTTTGGAAATCAGGGAGCATTCCCTTTGCAAATAAAGCTATTGTTAGTGCTATGAAGAATACCAGACCTTATGCAACCCATGGTACGACAAGGACTGATGAAGGGTACCAGGCATTTAGAGTGCTTGTATATACATGTATTACATTTAATGGAGTGTGGATGACATCACAAACTAAAATTTACGTAAAAATTATTGGGATTCAGGCTATATGCAGCTGTTGAACTCCACTATTTCAAACTCTCAGGTGAAAGAAAACAGTTGGTTAGCATGGGTTTCAAACAACCAGGCTATGATTAAATGTGGAAATAATATATTTTATTGATAGTGGTCCATATGAAGTAACATAACCGAGACTGAAATCAATAACTGAAAAACAATGGCAAATTGAAGGGAAGTAAGATTGAGTTGGGTTCAACTATATTTAGTTGGCAGTACTTGACTAAATTTTTTTTCCTTTTTCAGACATTGTCGTTTCCCTTTGACACAATCAGGAAGAAAATGCAGGTATATATTTTACTCTAAGGGGTGGACCATTTGACGTTGGGGGAGGAGTGGGTGGGTGGATGATTTTGAAAAAAGAAATACTGCAAGTATACTTGTACCAAAAAAATTCATGCATAAAATTGACCACCGTCGAAAAAAAAAGCATCATGCACATCCAGTGAGTCGAAAAAAGCATGTTGCATGGAGAAAAATGTATTGTGCATACACATGTAGCGAGAAAAGTAATTCCTAGTGCATGAAAGGGTAAACAAATTTCATGCCTGTGCCAAATCACCCACCACCCTGCCCCCTCAAAAGTCAATTGGTCCACTCCTAAATGGCTCTAGAGATTCTGATTATGGCAAGCCTGAGGGTCAGGACAATGTTTACTTGGCGGTACTTGCTGCATGTACACAGGAACTTGTTAACCTTTGAACATTTCACTGAGACAGACAAACTTGTGTGATGATTATAGATGTCTTCTCCCAGTTATAGTTGTGACAGGGAGAGGCGAGAGAGGGCAAATTCTTTGACCTTAGAAGAGTCTTAGACTAAAAAATTGTCCAATGGCCTTGAAGATAACCAAGTTCTCATCCTTTAAAATATAACCTGGACTCTGCTTTTTGTGCACTTCCAAAAAACATTCTTCAACAATAACTTTAACCTTTAACCAAACAAAGGCCTCAGATTGCAAATTTCATGACCAAATAAGAGCTACACAAGTACATGTACACTTAGTAGTAGCCCCTTCCCCTCAGTGTCTGATACATTTCAAAGGTTCAAGGAAGCAGAACCTGTCCTATTTTACAAGATGTAAAATATTATGCAATTGATAATGTATTGTATTTCTGACAGGCACAAAGTAAAACTCTTCCAAATCAGGGTGGAGTTGATATCCAGTTCAAAGGAATGACAAATGCTTTTGTTCAGACTGTGAAAGTCAATGGACTCCCTGGTTTGTGGAGAGGTCTTACCGCTAATCTTTTAAAGGTGAGAAAGTTTCTGATTTCAGGATTTTCCAGGGGATTCCTTAGCTTGCTTAAAGAACAGAGTACCTAAAGACTCTCGCCCAAAGCTTTCAGAGAAAGGCTTGCAATACTTCTAATTTGGTTCAGTATACAAAGCCCTTACATCATTCATTTGAACACGGTTTTGTTCTGTTTAGTTTGTCCACGCTAAAAAACATAGTTCATTATAGCCATTATCCCAGGGGCCTTTTATAAAGGGCTCGCTGTACACTGCAAACTGTTTTGCAGTCGAGTGAACACTCGTGGTTTTCAAATAGACGATTCAACTGTGGGGTTTTGCCTGCAAGTTGTCATAGAAAATCAAATTCCATTGCATTGTGACAAACCCCCTCCTGTAAAACTGTACTTATGTGTACCTACCATAACAATGAGCCTTTCAGTGAATATCAAGTTTCGGAGATGTTTGGCAAGAAGATCTTACACAACAAAATTTCACAATCATGCAATAACAGTCATTACTAATCTTAGACATTGTGGTAATATATTTACTAGCATTGAATTTTCTAAGTTGAGTAGGACTGTCTTTGAAGCTGGGGGATAATATAATGGCTTGTCAGAGTTACTGTGTTGTTTTGTTGCACCCAGGAACCCCATCTTACAGCCACCCCGTTAATATGACCACCTCATTATCACAGCCACTTTGGTTTTTTTTTTGTTTTTTTTTCACTTTTTTCTGGCCTAAACAAAAGCTCAGTCAGTCATTTTCTTATTTAAAGAACCCCTTTCATACAGCCACTCTGCTGATATGGCCAGATTTTTGTGGTGGGTTGGTGACTGGATTGACAGGGTCTCACTGTAACCAACTCTAACTTTCTTTCGTCTAGATTGCTCCAAATGCTGGCATCATGTTCCTGTCTTTTGAGTACAGCAAGAGAGTCTTCTTGTTCTACAATGGTTACACTGAGTCACCATTTTCACATGTTCCAAAATCTAATGTAGACCAGAGCATGTCACCAAATGAATTACGACATCATTATTCCAAAAAGAAAGGACACAGCAGATGACCAGACAAAGCACACTTCCCTGGAGTGAATGAACATAATTGAAAATGGACTTAATGTTCATGAGAAAGTCTAACACGTATAAGAGTAGGCTTCCTGTGGCACACGACTATTTTGACATTTGTCATAAAGCTATGACTTCAGTGAGGTAAAAGAATAGTTGGTTAGACTGTGGTGACAATATGGCATTTCTTTGTCTGACACTTGTCAGATGTTTTTGAGAGTAGCTGAATTGTCACTACTTAAGAAAAATAGCCATCAATGCATTTTTAAATGCATTGGCGCAAGAACTAGGCAAAAACCAGCAGGTGTACTGCACAATCTACCGTTGACGTCAAAAAGTCAATAATTAAAAAAATCGATTAACAATTAACTTTAAAAAGTCATATGAACATTCAACTTCATTTTTTCCTTGAATGTTCCTTAACCACATAATCACAACTGTGGGAAACAAAGTAAGATTCTCTCAACATTGCTGACCTTCATTTTTTGAGTAATTTGTCTATCAGTACATTTTAATTAATGATTTTAAAAGTATATCACACGTCAAGTTATTTTGTAGTACACCTGGCTTACTGTAAATTCAGGTTTAAAAAAGCTTTTACCACAAAGATGTATTAAAGTGAAGAGAAACAATATTTACCATTTGTCATATTTTAAGTATTGATTCAGTCTTGAAGACTGGAGAAAACTCTTCTCCAAAAATAGAAAACATGTACCATGGTTCTATGTGAGTGGAGGTCTGGGAGAATGACAAATGCTATAGGAACACAAGCTGATAGGC